GTGCCTTATATTAGGGCCCCTAAATTAATGCAAATGTAGAATAAGCTAAACCCAGAAATAGGGAAGCCATGTAAAGGCCAACTTTAGCATGAATTTCCTTGCACTGAGTTCCCACTTATCAGCATTGAAAGCCAAAAGTTATAATTAAAAAAAAAAAAATTAAAATTAACTTGCTTAAGTGGTGATTTTTTTTAGAGGGAGGTACTTACTACCAAGATATTCTAAATTCAATTATTAAAGATATTTTTATTGCCTGACCTTATCCCTGATTCTATATTTGTTGTAGAAATGCTTGAAGATACAGATCTCAATTCTTTGGGGGGCTTTGGTCATAACTCTTTCTCCCGCATGAGCTGCTACTTCTGTTAATGTGACCTTCTACCCAAGACTGAATTCAGCTACTTGTGTCTTTTTGAAAAATCAGCTCATGAGACAGAAATTATGCTTCATGAATCTCCGATAATATAATTGGGACATACACAGTTTCCTGCTTGATATGAAGGAACGAGGGACAACCTGAGGAATGACAGTGAGGAAATATGAACCAACAACAAAATTCCCAGGGAACTCCTCATTCCTATGAAATATTGGGAACAATAGACTGAATTGATGAGCTGTGTAATTTATAGACTGTTTTCAAAGCAGTAAGATTTCACTGAGTCTCAAGCCCAGAGTGTAAGAGGCTGAGATGCAGATGCGTTCTAGAAAGCAAGATTCTCTAAATCACAAGAGGCCTAAATTATACAATTACATGTTGTGAGCACAAAGGTTTTTTTAAATGAAACCATTTAAAATGGTTTTATTGTTAGACTGATCATTTCTGTGTCTTTTTATTTGGAATAACAGTGTGGGCTGGGTCCTCTTTATGGCAGTCACAAAGTTTTGGATTATCATCAGCCCAACATGTTCTCTAGAACATTTTTGGGAGACATCACCACTATCTTTACAAGCAACAACTATATAAGTATTGTTACTAATGTTTGTTGAGTGCTCAGTATGAACCAGGAACTACACTAGGCACTTTGCATAATGTCAGCCCCACAGTAAACTTGTGTGTCAGGGACACGGGGGCTCCAAGAGGTTAAGTTAACCTGCTCAAAGTCACATCAACCAGAAAAGGTTGGGAACCAAGAATCAAAAACTTTGTGTTGATTTTTTCCCCCAATTCTAAGTAGAATGGGGTAAATAGTAAAAATAGTAAGCTTTAGGAATATCTAGATTCAGGATATAGCAGAGAAGATTCTGAACTACTGAGCTGAGCCAGGAATTTGAAGACATCAGTCTAAAATTTCTAGAGTCCAAGGGCAGCTGCAAACTTCTCTCCTGCCCATTTTACTCCCTCACACTGAATACCTTCGCTTAGATGGTTGAACCCTGATAGAAGGTACCATGGAACATACTGGATACTCAACAGCACATCTCTGGGTTGCTATTTTTAAAAAGGTATGCCCTTGCCCCCCAATAGAAATTTGATTCCAAAAAATAAACATGTACACAATCCTAAACATGTCCACTTAGACTAATACTTATTTCAGGAGACATAACTTGGGCATCCTAGTGAATAAGGAACAATTTATTTCAAAACCATTCTACAGTAGCATTGCCCAATAGAACATTCTGCAAAGTTGGACATGTTCTCTATTTGCCCTCTAGCCACATGTGACTACTGACCACTTGAAATGTGGTCATGGAGACTTGGGAACAATGGAATTTTCAATTTCACTTAAATAGCCATCTGTGTGGTTACTGTATGAGACAGTGCAATTCTAGAGACTAAAGATCTAATTCTATCAGATCTCATAAAATTCTAAATATACCTGTTCCTCAGATTCCCTTCATGTCTTTCCCTGGGCAGGAGAATGAAGAAGTGATTAGGAGAGGGAAGGGGTGGTCGAGTCCAAATGTAAAATCATTTCCATGTTTATCTGTCCCAAATTCAAGCTGTGCTTTGTTGACAAAATTTGGGAATGTTGAAGATTTGGCAGGCCTGTCTGTCCCCTTGCCTGCATGAATGTGTCAGCACCTCATTAATCTTGTGTTAAACTGTAAAGGCCCTTTTCCCTCCTACCATGGGCCTATTTTTTAAAGGACACTTCAGTGCCCTTTTGCATTTCACAGTGAGATTTTAAAAAAAATTTACAACTTTCTCTGAGGATTAATTTAAGCCTATATTTTTACTTAAATATATCCTGATCATTTCTAAATTGGAACGAGAGAAATTATTTCAGGGCTAGGGAAGTTAAGAGTTTCTGAGGCACATTTTGCGTGTTTATTTTCTAGAAATTAAAAAAGCATGAGGAATCTCTGTGTTATCTTTCTCCAGTTTTAATTAATCTTTCAATGAAATGATTTTATCACACATGTAGTCTTGGTGATCCTTCTCTTTCCAAGAAAAACACATAGAGGGTGTAGTATTTTTGTTTCCTTAACAGTTTCTGTCATTTTTGGTCAGTTGTAAGATTAGATGAAACTGTCTTTAAACAATCCTGAATATTTTAAGCCTTAAGCCTGCAGGGCCTCGTCTTACAGGTGCATGCTGAATTGTCATTGCTTTTTTTTCTCTGAAGACAGACGTCTAGAATAACCACTTTCTGTATTTCCTGGCACTGGAAACAGTTACCGTTTGGGATTCCTTTTATAGTTCAGCTAACGACTCCAGTGCCCACTCGATTGTGGTCTCGTAGTAAATCAAAATTTCTTTGAAAGACCCAGCTCTGTTATATAATTGTAAATGTCCCACGAAGTCATCTCCCTAACTAAAAAGAAAAGCGAGTTTCCGTTGCCTCAAATAATATGGACTGTGTCTGCCACCACACATAATATTCTTTGAAAAGAATAGAACAGTTGCTTAACCCCTTCCTGCTCCTGCTCCTTCTTTTAAAGTAGCCTGCAGTCTATGAGACATACACATAAGCTTCGCTCTGTGTGAGATCTGGTCGGTCGGTCACAAAGAGAGAGGAAAACCATGCTGCAAACTGCCCCGTCAAGCCTCTCTCCTCCCAGGAATGACTTGCCCTGGCTGGAATTTTGGGTTTCACAGTGACTAAGGACACTGCTCTCAATTATTTACTCTGCGTTTTAATAAAATAGAGTTAAAAATAAAATCTGGGGATGGTCCAGCTCCTGCTGAGAGTCACTGTGAGGGCCCTGAGGGAAGATTTAGGGGACCCCATGGGAGCCCCCTGCAGTCATCCCTGGGAGGTGAGATGACCAGAGGCCGTGTCCTCACTTCTGCATCCGGATCTGAGACTAAAGGCTTTGTGTAAGGAGCAGGGCCGCAGGTGGGCAGAGGTGAGGGCCTAGAAGGAAAAAAAAATCCGTCAAATCAAATCCGCCCAACCCCGTGATGCCGTGGGGAGCCTACATTTCGTTGCCATCTTTGTGACGGGTTTTGGGGGGCATGGAACTTGCCATATTTTGCCAGGGTGCTTTTAGGTCAAAGTGGGGAGCAGGGGAATTTTTAAGTTTGGCAGGTGTTGCTGGGTGTAGGGATCCACAAAGGGGGCCGCTTTGTCAGGCAGGGCCGACAGTTTGCAGGCCCAGGCCAAGGCCCAGCACTTTCCCCTCTGCCCGACTCAGGTGACGAAACCACGGCCTTGCCCAATTTTCTAGAATTCGGTGCCCCTTTGGCCAACTCGGAGAAAAGGCTTCCCCAGAAATGGGGGCCTCAGTGTGTGCCAATCCTGGTAAAGTGTTTCACCTCTTCAGAGGCTAATGCCTCTCAGAACCAAGAACAATTAGAGTGCGAGTCTTTCCAAGCAACTGGGGAATTGAGCAAAATAAATCAGAAATCCTCAGCCCTGGCTCTGGAGACTCGCCTCATTATGAGAGCAGATCTATTAGCCCTCTTGCCATTGTCTTTCATTTCTCAAGTGAGGTGATTCTAATTAAATTAATCTGCATGTCAATCTATCGGTGATCAATCAAAGAGCCCGAGGTCCCCCCTATGCTGCGGGGTGCTTGCGGCTGACAGGGGCTGATAATGGAGGAAGAAATAAACTGTCGAGCAAAGTTAATTAGTCAACATAATAGGTGGATTAAACAGGAGCTGGCTGATTGCTGTTTCCCATGTCAAAGCACGAGGTGGGAGCCGAAGCTGCAATTACAGACAATTATTATATTTGGTTGTAAGAGGTCGCATGAATAAACATATCTCTGTGGGTTTCAGTTTTAATCCGCTTCCCCATTTAATATAAGGAGAAGTGTAGGTCATTTCTTCTCATTGTTTTAGTCAAAATTCCCTGAGAAAACACCTTTGCCGGCGTCCCTTCTGGAAAACTGAGTTCAGAGTCAGTTTATGAGGTGGCCAGGGTATGCGAGTTGTACCGTGGACTGGTGCCACCACTTTGGGGGGCTTTGAAACACAGATCTAAGATCCTTACTGAGCAGATATTTTTTGGGGGGGGGAGTAGTGGTGATGGTGGTGATGGGGGCAAGGGAGGCTTTGGTCTGATTAACTGAAAGAATGTAGGGAGAAAAAAGTACGAGAAACCACAGAAAGACAGCCAGGAGAGAGGGCTGCACCCCAGCTCTCACTGAAGGCTCCCTTCATTTCTCTATCCTCTTAACCCTGACACAGGGGAAGGCGGGGGGAGAGGGGGATATTTTAAAGATTCAAAAGATTTTTTATTTGCATGATCAACTGTGATATCTGCTTCAGTGTCTAAACTGAAGGGTAATTTAGGTGAAACACAACCACCCTTGTGTAAAAAAATATGCTAATAAAGATCCTCTTGTTAAAATTATGGTTAACAGTGTACCTTCTGCTGTATAACTATAAACTGTGCAATTTTACTTAAAACTGCATCAAAAGCGTTCCATGCCAAAGACCCACTCATCAATAGCTCCTCTTGTTAACTTGTACAGCATAAGCACCAGTTATTATGTGAAATAGCTATGCAATTTTCTTCAGCTCCCAGCTGTTATTTATTTAACTTGAGTTTATTACCCTCCATGCTTTTATATTAAAATGTTCATTCATTTCTCTCTTCTGTCTCCAGGTCGTGGTGTCTACGACAGTCAATGTGGATGGCCATGTCCTGGCAGTCTCTGATAACATGTTTGTCCACAATAACTCCAAGCATGGGCGGAGGGCTCGGAGGCTTGACCCCTCGGAAGGTACGCCCTCTTATCTGGAACATGGTAGGCGAATCATTTTCATTGGTTGGCATTGCTACTTTTAACTGTGAATTTATTTGGTTTCTCTTTTCCAACTCCACCGCATTTTTCTATCCCATTTCAAATGTCCAATGCCCTGTTGAAGAATACTGACGCTGAGTAGTTAAAGACAGGAAGATATGTTGAGTCTTGTCCTTCCCTGTTGCACAGTTTTCTACCCCAAAATGGTTGATGTATCTTTCCTTTTTGTTGAGAGACAGAGGCAGGCCTGGACCACTGCTTTATGTTAAGCTTCCACTTGACTGACAGACAAAGGCCAAAACAGGGTAACAGAAATCATGACGCGTTAAGAACTTACAATGGACTTGGTTGCATAATGAACTCCATCCTTCTTATGACCCTGTTGGTGTATCTCTGGGACTACATAGTTATTGTCATTTGGAGATAAAACCCAAGGTCTGGGTTGGAGGCAACCTTCTGAATATGCAGCCCAAACTAAATGTTCCTCCCACGCCCTGTGCAGGCGCTTCCACTAATCGCCACATGGTAGAGCCTGCTTTCTGTAGGTAGACTTTAGTGGGGAGAAATCACGTATGTCTTGGTTTTATGGCCAATCAGTTGTCCCTTTGAGAGGATTGGAGGAAACCAGATAAAAATTTGAATGAAGAAAAGTGAATGTCACTCAAAGGAACCATGGCCCGATTGAGTGTATGCCTGAAGGTTTCAGTGCTATATGTATATATAATGAATGTATCTGTCCATACTTCCATCTGTCCATCTATCCATTATCAGTGCGTCATCCGTCCGTCTGTCCATCCATCCACCCAGCCATCTGTTCACTAATCTACTCTATTCATCTGTCTACCCCTTCATTTGTCTGTCCTCCATCCTTTATCCATCCACCCATCTGTCCATCGAGCCATCAAAACACCCATCTAAGAAACAGTGACTGAGTCTACTAGATACCAACCACCATGCTAGATTTTCGCCAATCTCCTCAAATTAAATTCTCAACTCATTTCCCTACTTCACTTTCTAGTTTGCTAGGTCAGTAGGATTCTTTGTAAAACACTACCATACAAATTTACACCCGATGGCCTGCTTTTTCCGTGGGCCTTGACCAGTCCATGATAGAGTCCATAAGGTAGAAAACGCCCTCTCCTGCCAGCATCCCAATTAAATGAACATACCATTATCATCACTTTCTGCCTGATTTTTTTTTTTTTTTGTGCTTAAGTAATACACAAACTGTGCTTTTTATTAATTAGCCAGATGTAACACTCTTAGAAGGGATTCTTTACCACATCCAGTTTTACAGTCTTTTTAAGGTAAACCATCATCTTTCAAAAGCTGTTTCTTTATGGTTTCATTAGTGCTGAGATGGATGGATATTACTTTTTGCAGGAGGCCATTTGAAACACTTGCTCATGATTACATTCACAGTTCCATTTCTGTACTTAAAATTATTCTGATCCTCACTTTACAGTATTATTGCCTTCTTAATACCTTTGGAGTCACTTAAGGCGTTGTATGACGGGATGTTTATGGGAAAGGAAGAAGGAAAAGATAGGTAAACACTCAGTGGGCACAATTTGAAGAGCATTGGCTTAAAAGCTGAAGTGTTGTTTTTGACTGTAACTAGTTAGTTATTGTCCAGTCTGGGGACACTTGACTGTCATTTTGAAATGTGCCAGTTATGGGTCTACAGTTTCAAAATGTGCTCCGAGTGCAGACCTCACTCAGCTCCCATTCCTGCCCTTGAGAAGCTGGGGAGAGAGCACAGGATGCCAAGCAAGTCATCCCTGCACCAAAGAAACCCAACACAAAGTCGCAAAAAACATCCGGATAGAAAGGACACCTCTTGGTGTGGAGGTCAAGAACATTGTTTTGCATCATGACGTGTTGGAAAGAGTCTTACAATTAGAGTCAGGAAACCCAAATTCAATTTGTCAGTTCACCTCTACCCTTGGTGCAACCTTGGACAAGTCACCTTACCTTTTGGGAACCTTAGTTTCCTTCTTGGCAAAGCAAAGGTGATGATCTTCAGGACTTCAGGATGGGGGAGGGGGTAAAAAAAATGGGTACCTTGGCTGAGGGCAGGTCACATACAGAGGGGAAGTGGGCTGGGTGGAGACTTCGGAACAAGGGCAAGTTCACGTTCCACTGCCCCAGCCCCAGGCAGTTGTCACCAAGGGGAGTGAAAGCCCAGTGGGGCCAGATGTTCCATTTTGGCAAGAATTAAAACCCTCCTAATTTTTAATTGTTGGTAACTTATTACAAAATTTTTAAACCCTAAAGAGAGAAGGGTAGGGGGAGTCACTTAGGAAGAATATAGCCATGGGCTAGCAATTTGCAGTATCTAAGCTTCCTCCCAGCTCAGATATTCTCACTTCTCTGTGTATATATTAATATTTCAGTTGCGATATCATATTATTCTAAGTTTTTTTATTTTTTAAATCCTCACCCAAGGGTATGTTTTTATTAATTTTTAGAGAGAGAGGAAAGGGGGGAGAGAGAGAGAGAAACATGGATGTGAGAGAAACATTGATTGTTTGCCTCCTGTATGTGCCCTGACCAGGGCTTGAACCTGCAACCTAGGTATGTGCCCTGACTGGGAATTGAGCCCGCAACCTTTTGGCGTAGGAGACAACACTCCAACCAACTGAGCCACCTGGCCAGGGCCAATCTAAGTTTTAAAGACCACATTCTATTCCTCTGTTCCAGTTTACCAGTCCACAAGTGACCATATTATTACTAGCATATTATTCAAGAAAACGATGACATTTCACTGTCTATTAATAGGTAATAATCACTGGAGATGTGGGTATGTCCTACCTCCTTCAGCTAGGGGGCCTCCCTCTCTCCAAAGCCTTACTTCACTTCTCTCCAGAAGATTAAAAGGGTAGACAGCTCCTTAAGGTTATTCTTAGTAACAACAGTAATGTGGAAATCTGCTCCTCCGTAGAATGAATGAACCAACCACACGTAACCACCCACTCACGTAGGCGCTCCAAGCTGATAGCTAGATACGTACCTGCTCAGCAAAGGGTGACCCTGGGCTCTTTCATTGGTGGTGTTGTGGGGGTGAACCTGTGATGCTAATTTACATTGATTTGGGGTATGGCAATACCTTATCTTACCATTGAAAAATCCTACTTGAAATTGCCCTTTTTAAGACTAATAGAGCCACGCCCCCCTCGGTGGCCCTTTTACTCTCACACCCCCACCACCAGCAGCTACTACACAGGGAGACTACCCAGTATTTTCACTTCTTAGGTCACCTGTAGGAGCCTTCATTTTCCCTCATCCGGGGCTTTTTACAGGTAGCCTGAATTATTTTGAGCTGCTCTGCACATCTCTATTTATATCCTGCATGACAGACAGTTGGAGTAAAGTTCCCTTCGTGGCTCAATCTCTGTGCGTAGGAGAGAAATAGAGACCGTGCTTTACATTCATGCACTCTCCCTGTGCACCCCCACACTCCCAACCTCGGTGCTCAAATAACTGCCCCTGTATTGCAAGGAAGAGAGCCGACAAAGGCAGGTTCGTTTCCTAGAATCGCATGTGATCCAAAGAGGGCGCCTCCCTGCGCGCCGAGGCTCGGGGCGCCTGCTCTTGCCCTCCCTTGTCTCCATTCATAAATCCTGAGATGTTCTCTGGCTGGGTGTTCATGGAGAGTTTACGCTCGTGAGGTTTCCTCTAAGCAGTAGCTTTATGGAAGATGTACGGTTGTGGGGAGAGGCAGCTTCAGGACGTAACAGCTCTCAGGGTTCCGATTTTTGAAAAAGCGCAGGCTTCGGGCCAACGACACTGACTTGTTGCCACCCTCGGTAATAGTGTACAGCTCCGGCTTGCGTGCCCACCCAATCTTCCCGTCACTTGGGCAAATCCCTGGGACTGTGCACTGGGGATCGTCAAAGGGCTGGGGAGCGTTAATATTGTCGTTCTGTTTCAGGTCCTATTACTTGGGTTTAAGGCCAACTGTGCCATCAGTTTCTTTATCCCCACCTCCCCCCACCGTGACAAAATGCGGTGCCCTCACAAAGCTACAGTGCAGGGACCCTGTCAGCTTGCATGCGCTAACACTTTATTATCTAATGATCTAATATGCAACAAGGCAAAGAGCTGGTGCTCATCACGCTGACATCGAATGCCGGGAGAAGTGACTAAATTACTTTATGTACCATTAGCGCTCGCAGCTATGGTGAACTCACCGGCAGCGTTTATGCAAATGCCTCTGAAGACACTCCAGTGGCTTTGTCAGGAAGCCGGCTGACAAGCAGTTTAAATGCTCATTTTTTTAAGGGGACTTTTTAAAAAAATTTTTGATGTACATGTGTTTTTCTCCCTTCCTCCTTTTTTCTTCCCTCCACGCTCCCCCTTTTGGGCTACTGGAGGGCCTTCCCTGATCACTGGGGAAATCCAAGCGGGGAGGGAGCTCAGCCTGCCATCAGAAGGTGCCCCAGACTGGGGTTAAGGCCCTGATCTGGTGTTCTTCAGATTTAGGGATGTTTGTTATTATTATGAATTTGTACCATCTTTATATTTATTTGAAAAATGGATAGAACTATGATTAATCAAGAGGTTTTAGAAGATGGACATTTTAATGTTCATCTAACCTGAGGTCCCACTTGGTTTCTAGGCTCAAATATAGACACTTTAAAACACCCCCTTTTTTACAAATGGGAAACAATGGGCATTTAGCTTTTGTGGGCAACAGATAGGAATGAATTAAATTTGCCTTCAAAGTAATGATTCAGATTGAGCTGTGACGTATACGTGTGCCAGGATCCCAAAATAAATCCAATCAAAACAAAAGTGGGGTTTGGCCAAACTGAAAATACTTTTTTGCAGAAGAAAGTCTGGTGCTTAAATCCCTGGGCCCTTCTCCTTGCTGTGATGACGGTGTTAGAGACATAGCATCGCATTTTCCTCACCACCGGTTCCCTCTGACCTTTCCGCTGCAGTGCCCCTTCCAGCTGTCCCTGACAATATGGTGTTATTCTTGCTCTTTAGCATTTGAC